ATTGTTGCTTGGCTTTTCTTTCTTTTCCTGCTGTTTTTGTTCCAACTTTCTTCGAAGGCCTTCACCCCCCCCCCTTTTCCCCGTTATCGGAGAGGAATTCAAGAGGTCCAACAAGTCAAAAGGTCTAATAATGGATCTTTTGACTCGCCCGACACGACTCGAAAGATCCAATGTGGGTCAAGAGGTCCAACAAATCAAGCGGTCCAACGAGTCAAAAGATCCACGGCGAGTCAAGAGGTCCAACGAGTGAGAAGATCCAATAATGGATCTTTTGACGCGTTGGGTCTTTTGACTCGTTGGACCTCTTGACTCGGAATCCTCCTTGTCACCCGAAAGCCGTCATTCATCGTAGTTTTGCTTTTCTTTCTTTTCCTGCTCTTCTTAAAAACTACCCCCCCCCCTTCCCCCTATCCCGGTGATCGGGCAGGGAGTCAAGAGGTCCATCGAGTCAAAAGGTCCAATAATGGATCTTTTGACTCGTTGGATCTTTTGACTCGCCAAACACGAGTCAAGAGGTCCAACCAGTCTAGAGATCCAACGAGACAAAAGATCCACGGCGAGTCAAGAGGTCCAGCGAGTCAAAAGGTCCAACGAGTCAGCAGGTCCAGTAATGGATATTCTGACGCGTTGGATCTTTTGACTCGTTGGACCTCTTGACTAGGAATTCTAAAATAACTGTCGTAACTTAAATATCGCGCTAATTATTTTTTTCAACTTTATTTTTGGACATACATTTTTATACAGAAACTTTGAAAAGGTGTGTATCGGAGTTCCTCGCTACATTAAACTTGTAAAGTCCGCAAAAAAAAAGTGTCTCTTTTCTATTTATTCAATATTATTTTTTGAACAGTTAGGAATGTGGTGAATGCGTTTTTTAGTAGGATGGCATTTGATAAAAATATTGGCACATTGTAATACAACGGCATATATATATAACGCATGAAAACCTGAGACTGGTTTGAAAAACGGAAACTGGTGATGTATGAAGAAAAAGGGACAGACAACGTCGTGAAGTACGAAGAAAAAGGGACGCACGTTGTCTGTCCCTTTTTCTTCCTACTTCACGAGTTCCCGTTTTTCAAACCACAGTCTCAGGTTTTCAATCATGTATAAGATACACCAGCTCGCCTGCACTTTAACCGTTTCTTCATTGGGCATATATATCTTAAATAAATGTAAAAGTTTTCGAAAATTAATGAAGCTCCTAACCATTATGGTGATATATCTTTATCGACCCGTTAACTATCCCCACGAAATCATAAGAAACACAACACAAAAAGAACACTGCGCCGGCCGGGAATCGAACCCGCGTGGCAGGCAAGTATTCTACCACAGAACCACCAACGCTTTCAACGCGCGAGTTCAAGACGGCGTATGAAGTCCCGCCCTCATTGGAGCTTTTGTTTGGTCCTAGTTTTGAGCCGATGCCGCAGGTTTTCATTTATGTTCAAAGAAGTGAATGCTATATCCCAGATCCCCAACCGCCAGAAAATCGTCCTCACTTTCATCCGTACACCAGCCCAGCCCGCCTTCGCGTTTCCCGCTTAAATTAGTCGTTGAATTGAAGTGGTCCATAATAACTATACAATAATACACCAAATAAAGTGCATCATACATTATTGGTGACGCGGGAACGTCCTTCCGATAAATTTAGCGGGACTGCGTATTTTATTGCATGAACAAATATTGACTTTAATCAGACAACGATTTGACACCGTGACGTGACGTCACGTGATTACTTTTTATAATGCCCGATCACATAATAGAGTGTCACAACACGGTGTTCCGTGACTCCGTGAAATCACATGACCCCACGTCACGTAACGTCACATGTTTAACGTCAGGCGACATTTGAAACTGACGCAGTGTTGTGACGTGATTTCTTGACCGGACACAGTGGTGTCAAGTAATGCCGTAAGCCACACCTTTTCGTCGTGCCATGTGGCTAAATAACATTACAACAACTCACTTAATGTTAATTAATAAAAAATACGTTCTTCCTTACCTGCAAAAAATGTCTAAAATATTCAAATGAAATTTTAGCAATCACTAATTAAGTACTTCGTTACACTGGTTATTGAACTTTTCAAATAAAGGACCCTGCGAATTCTTTATTCATCTATATGAAGTTTTATGTATCAACAGATTTAGAGCAATGAAGAGACATGTGAGACGCATGCAAGTTAGACACTTTGGTTTTCCTCTTTTGAATATATATTGCAAGCCCCCACTTTGAAGCTTCATATATTTACAGCGTGGGAAATCCGGCGTAGCTTTAACGGAAAATGTACTAAGATATATGTTTTACACGGAATATGTTTTCTTTATTCTAAATGTTGAAAGCAAGACTTCCAATTAAAAAATGATTCGGAAACCATTGTTCATTTGAGATAAACTTGGAAGCGACCTGGATCCCTTCCATCTTAAGGATTGAGATTTACCGCAATATTGGGCAAATGTCGAAAGCCATCCTTGACACAAACCTGTGCATAATTGATACCGCTTTAGTAACGGAAACCACTTTTCAGATGATATAAGAGCAACACGTTTATTTTTTATGTTTATATATACTGCGATAGTGTAGCCATCTCGGGCACAAATAATATGAATGAGCAGAGTTCAATCCCAGACATCGAAACCTTTATTTTCATATCTTTCGCTGCAATGACGAATCCCTTCAGTGAAAACTAGCAACGTTTACATTGTTGTGGTCTAGCTAGAATCGGAGCCTGCAAAGCCATTTATTTACATTCGTTTTGAGACGCAAATTTTTCAATAAACTTACTGCTTTCTTTTAGTTCTTCGACGACTCGTAATTGTTGTACCTGCCTGCACACAAAAAAAGCAAAAAAACAACCGTGGTTGCAGTGTTTGACCATCAGTATATCCTCATATACCAAAATTTTCTGAAGCTACAAAAACACAGGGAAACAATCACACATGCATACGTCATATTTGAAAGTTATGCAACCAAGGTTATATTTTATTTTGCTATGTAATAAATTTCCTTACATATATGCAAGGTGTTTCACCAATAAGTTACACTCTCAAAAAAAAAAAAAAAAAACTCTCAAACCAGCATGATCTACTTTTCGAATCATTTTTATAATTTCTTTATCTATGGAAAGGGGTGTAAAAAAATTAAGAACGTAAATACAGTCTTTCGTAAAAAAGTTAGACGTACCATGCAGTCCTTAGCGTTATCAATTTAAATATAACCTAATAGTAATTTGTGCCTGCGACAGAAAAAAGAACTGCGTAGGAAAATGCAGCAGCGCTGTCAGCCTAATATATCAACATTTAACCAAGTTGCTCGCAATTCTTGATTGATCCAATTATTTCACAGCAAAACTGAAAAAAACTATAAGTTAAAGAATCTACAGGGTATACGCTGCATGATTCATCTTGCCTCATGAATAAAATCTAGATTTGGCGGGAAGTCTCTAAATTTTAATAATTACACTTTTGAGCCTTTTAGTGGGTCCATTTTAAAAGGAAAACACTTTATTCGCGTTCTTATATGGTTTTTCAAAGAGCGACGACGAACAACACATTTTTTTACAGAGTAGATAATCAGAGGTTAGACATTACTTCTCTCACCAGAATCTTGAATATAAAAGGCACGTAACATTGTTTTGTCACTCACAAAAGGCCAAATAGGTGGGATCAATTCCGCCCCCCAGCATACAGTTCTTAGGATTTCGTGTAAAATGAAATGCATTCCCGGAAAGTAAAGAAGAATCGCCGCCAATCGTTCGTGAATTAAGCTGTTATCTCACCATAAGTTGCGAATCCTCGCACATCGCGTCCTTAGAGAGAGTGTAGAACCGCGATTGATGTTCATCAGGACTCCGATTGCCAGCCGCCTCCAGGAATCCCGCTCTCGGGGTCTTTCCGGTGCCCTTGGGGGTAGCCGGCCGCCGCAACACTCCTCGACCAGCCCCCGTATAAAAAGCGCGATACTCGGCGTTGCCTCATTATCAATCCGAAACCAGCGAAGCAGCCAACACAGACGGTAAGCGGTACGTTTATTCTAGTGGCCAGAGCATTTGTGTGCGTCTTTCGTTCCACGTAAAGCAAAAACAAAGAAGTTTCAGTATTATGGGGTCAATATATTGTGCTTGGGCTCGACGTTTCCTATTTGATGTTAAAATGAATAGAATTAAGATAACAGACCCTCCTCAATCGACTTTAAAGCCGAATCCTGTGATTTATGTGGAAATCAAAACAATAGGCGAATCCCAGACTTCGTGAGGCTCCACTTCAACATCTGCTGGTGTGATGCATGTTACACTTTTTCTTCTAACTGCGATGCGCATAAGTTACTTTTGGTTTAAAATGTTTCCCTGTTATTTAATGCGTTTTTGCCTCGTGTTTTCTGGGGAGAAAATGTGCGGGCATTTACTTAAATTTGTCAACATGTCCAGAGGCAAGAAAGAAACATATGATTTGCCATTTTAATCAATATAGAAAACAGAAAGTTTAGCGTTTATTCACCATCAATTAAAAAAAAAAAATTTGAAGAGTGTTTTGAGCGGCTGTGCGGGGATCGCTTATGCTGACCTGACATTGAGTGGGGTGAAAAAGTAAAGAGACTGTTCTTCCAATATCTCTCTTAAAACATTCTGACTCTGGCCTAGGAATGCTTACCACTACGCCAAAAAATGCTTAGGCGACTGAATATTTCATATTGCGGGAGGCTGTATCTTTATCCTAAAGTTTAGTGCAGTTCTGTCACTCAAAACATGTTCAAGAGGAGTAGCAATAGCAAGCAATTGTTTTTCCCCAGCCATATCAAAGTCTACTCCTACACTACTATGGGTTACCAACTGAATAGGATCGCCTCACTTAGGCTGAATTTTATCACAGCTGTATCAATTCATTTCTGTCCATAATATGAAATAACTTCACAATAGAAACAACTTCAGCCAGTCGGCAGTCAGAACTGCAATGAATAATATTAAGGTCTCATGCTCATTCTTTCTCGTGTTTTCATGCAGAAACTACCATCAACATGATGTCCAGCAAGACCATCCTCGTGGCCTTAGTCGTCCTCGCAGCTCTGTGCAGCCTGGCGGTTGCTCAGTATGGCCGAGGATTCGGAGGGGGCCGTGGCTACGGAGGTGGACGTGGCTTCGGTGGAGGCTACGGAGGCAACCGTGGCTTCGGAGGAGGCTACGGAGGAGGACGTGGATTCGGAGGTGGCTACGGAGGAGGCCGTGGCTTCTACGGCTGATGCGAACTCCCAATGTTAAATAGAATGTGAATATGTAAAATCTGCATTGTACATGACATGACAGAATCGCCAATACACTCAACTGCTTTGTCAAGTAATAAAATATCTTCCAAAATCTTTATAGTCGTCCGTACATTTCCAAGGTTGGTTTCTCTGCAGTGCTACACTAATTTGCATAAGAATTTAGAAACCCTTTATGGGGTAACGATGAAAACGCGTTTGCAATCCTACACGAATTGTGATAGGAATATTGTATATAGCAAGTGTTTGCTAAATCCTCATTTGCGTGAAGCCTATTTTTCTTGCTTTAAATTGGGCCCTGCATCATAACTATATATATATATAGGGTGTTTTTTTTTAGCTGCACCAAATTTTCAAAAAAAGAAGAGCTGCGTTAGGGCACTTAATTTATGCCATTAGCATACCCGACCTGGCGCCCACATGGAACCAAGTATTTTATGCAACTAGGCGACACTAATTAACGGAGATCTCTTAATTCTCTTTTTAATGATTGTTTTTAGAGGGCCTATTGCATTTACGAAATTGAAGCCCAACCTTAATATGCTCCAACCCCACAGCGAAGTAAAGGCACAAACAATTTCTGCGCGCGTTTCTGGCTAAATTATTTCATTGCCGCTGGCTCTTTCAAACCGAAACTGACCAGAACAGGAGAGTCGATGACTTCGGTATCTCCTTTGCAATACGCTGCTCACTCCTTAGTGTTTTGCTTACCGCGGCAGGTGTCATGTAGGCGTCTGCGGTCGGCGTCAACTGCGCTGTGTCATATCCCTTGACCTGTGGGCGAGGCGACGCTTTCGTTGGTACGATAAATGCTGTTGCATGCATTACCAGCGGCCGGCAACGTTAGACGAGCTTCCTGCATTTTATTTGGGAAAAAATATTTTTTCCATGCTGGAGACTTCTGCTAGCTATTATTTGCAACCGCTGCTTTATTTCTAAATTCTTGCTTTTCGATGCATTCAACTAGCCAGGTTTCGTTTTAAAGAACAGTGTAATCATGCTTCTGTAATATCACTGGTTGGCCCCTCTGGCAGTTAAATTACTGTAGCGTGAAACAAAATCATCTTTCTTTGTTCTATGTTCTATGGGCTCTTAATAAATGAGGAAGAAGCCTTGCACCGGCGTTCTGGCTCACGTTACGGTAGTCCTGTGCTGTGTGCGGCACAGTGTGAATACGGTATCGGCGCTTTTTCAAGTGTAGCTCGAACAGGGCACTGTTGAGAACTAAGCTTTGCTGCCTCACTTAGAGCCCCAAATAATACTGAAAGAATAAACAGAGGGACGGACAGAACAACGCATCTTTCGTGCTTTCGTGCCTCTGTCCGTCCAGCTCTCTGTTTATTCCACTGTCCGTCCCTCTGCTTATTATTTCAGTATTATTTAGTTTACCAACACGCTGCCGTCTAACTTAGAGCCCCAAATTAGCACTTTTCACAGCACCAGTATTTTCTTCGGAAAGCTTTTAGTTAGTCAAGAAAATCAGGAAAAAATATGGCTCAGCGCGTTTTTGGTACTTAAAAAAAAAAAAAGCTTGGCAGCCAAAGTTATTTGGGCATGTGATCAGCCACCTAGCGTTTTCCACCGCCTGGCCACTTTATGAAGTTGGAAACAGTTGCGTTCAAAGTAAGTGCTCGAATTGGAGTCCATCTACAGAAACGCACATCATCAGTCGGCTTCGCATGGAAAACAACACGCGCTCGAGCATTTCAGGCTGAACTGCGGCACAGGCGCCGAAGATTCTTTGTTTCAGGTTGTCCACGCTGGTCGGTTCCGTGGCGTAGACTTCATTCTTCACATAACCCCAAAGAAAAACAATCTAACGGGCTCAGATCTGGTGATCGTGCCGGCCACGGAACTGGACGACTGCGTCCAATCTACTGCTCTAGAAAATTTCGGTGTAGAAATCGAACAGCACGCGAAGAAGAATGCCCTTGAGCGCCGTCCTGTTGAAACCACGTCTCCTTCAGCACTCTGAGAGGCAGGCCGGCAATAAACTCTTCCACGACTCCTAAAAAATTCTCTCCGTGTATAGTTTTTCGTTCAGTGTGCCGTCAAAGAAATATGGGCCAATGATTTTATCATTAAATACTCCACACCATACGTTAATAGACCATCCCACTTGATGTTTGTGCTGACGGAACCAACGAGGATTTACGCTTGCCCAGTAATGGGCATAGTGGAGGTTCACCATTGAATTTCTGCAGAATTGAGCCTCATCACTCGGAATAGCTTTTTCCAAGAATCCAGGATCCCGGTCCATTTCAATCAGGGCCAAATTGCAAAAGTCCAGTCGTCGTTGAAAGTCACTGCCACGTAGCTTTCGGTGCAGGCTAACGTGAAACGGATGCATGCGATGCTTCACAAGCCCTTTCCGCACTGTAGAGATCGTTGTCCCTGAAGACCTCGCAATTTCGCGCACGCTTGCTTCAGGCTTAGCTGTTAAGTACGCGAGAACGTGAGTATCGAATTCGCGGACATATTTTTTCTGTCTTCGCCCACTTACCACCGTGCCACATGATGCAAACTTGTTGAAGACGCGTATGAAGGAAGTGTGGGCAGGAACGAAGCGACCTGGGTGCTGAGTGGCATAAAGTTGCGTAGCATGACGAGCATTCTTTTACATAGTTAAATATGCGATCACCATATCTGTTTTTTCTTCAACCGAAAGCCTTGTCGCAATGAGCGACGCCATTCAGATGTGTTTCCTGCCATAGTGAGAGAAAGAAAGGCACAGCACTATTAATCGCTTAGCGCCTGTGTTATTTGTAGCCTTCGTCCTTCCAAAGAGATGGGTGCCAATCTGTGTTTTTTGCAACAGAGGAGCAAGTGACGCAGCGTTCGTCGCTTTGTAGCAACATTGGCACAAGTCTTCAGAGCAGCTTTTATCATATGAACGAAAGGAAAGGGTAGCGTCACGATGCCCGCTGGGACAGCGTGATTTACACCTGCCGCGGTGAGCAAAACACTAAGGAGAGAGCAACGTATTGCAATAGCGCTGACCGTAGTGCCTGCATCACAGGTGACGTCACTGCTGTGATGTCAAGCGAGGGCGCAGATATCGACGCCATTGAAGCTCGTGTTCTGGTCAGTTTCGGTTTGAAAGAGCGTACGGGAATGAAATAATTTAGCCAGAAACGCGCGCAGAAATTGTTTGTGCCTTGACTTCGCTGTGGGGTTGGAGCATATTAAGTCTGGCTTCAATTTCGTAAATGCAATAGGCCCTCTAGAAACAATAATTAAAAAGTGAATTAAGAGATCTCCGTTAATTAGCCGCCTAGTTGCCAAAAATACTTTGTTCCTAGTGGGTGCCAGGTCGGGTATGCTAATGGCATAACTAAAAGTGCCCTAACGCAGCTCTTTTTTTTTTGAAAATTTGGTGGAGCTAAAAAAAACACCGTGATTACAGGGTGTTTTTTTTTAATCTTAACCAAATTTTTAAGAACAAACCCTGAAAGCTAGGTTAATGCAGTCTGCGCAGGTGAGTTATACGGCCAGGGGGACATAGTATAGGGGGTTAATCGTAACGATCAGTTGGCTAATTAGTTAAAATTCGTTAATTAATTTTTAATTAATATAAATAGACAGATCGTTCCAATTGGAAACTTGCTTAGCGTCATCGAAAACCACTAAATCAGTAATTTCAGAAAGACTTTGAACGCGTGAGAAGCGCAGTAGAGCACTAAAGTTACCGCTCGTGGAGCAGGTACAAGGCTGGGGCTAGATAAGAGACGGAAAAATTGCGCGCTTACCGCAACCGCTAGCTTTGTACCTGCTCCACGAGTGGTAACTTTAGTGCACTACTACGCTTCTCTCGCGCTAAAAATCTTTCTGAAAATTACTGATTTAGTTGTTTTCGATGACGCTGAGCAAGTTTTTAATTTGAACTATATGGCCATTTTCATTAATTAAAAAGTTCATTACCGAGTTTTATCTAAGTTAATTACCGAACTTTATCTAATTAGCCGACCGATCGTTACGATTAGCCTTGTATATTATGTCCCCTTGGCCGTATAACTCACCTGCGCAGATCGAATTAATCTAGCTTTCATGGTTAAAAAAAATTATGTTAAGCTTAAAATAAAACATCATATATATATATATATGTATATATATATATATATATATATATATATATATATATATATATATATATATATATATATATATTTATTAAATCGCAAATTCAAGTTTTACATTTGAAGAGAAGGACCTTAGCGAGACACTGAAATTAGAAAAAAAAACATTAGTTGAACGGGTATACTTGCTGGCAGTTTTTTTTAATATTTTCGCACAAAACGGTTTGTTTTAGCAATATTTGCGTTGTTATAGGCTATTTAGGTGAGGTAGCCGTGCTCTAAGCCCCGCCCATAACGAAAGCTTCTTACTACAGTCGGTTACAAGTTAAGAAGGTAGGAGAAGCTCCTCCCATAAGCGTGATGCGCCCGTTTCAAATCCATCCGCAGTCGAAAGAATAGTTCCCTAAAAACGCCTCTTTTTCCGCTTCAATGAATCGATAATCAATCAATCAGAGTTACGTTGTGTTTCCCAAACAGCTTTAGGGGCATTTTTAGGGTTACACTTCACATTATAAAACAGCACTGAACTAAACAAACTACATGGCAATCCTAACCACAATACTATACTTGAACTTTTTAAAAAGGTAGAAAAAAGTCCACGTTAGGGTTGAAATACTTGTTGTACGTGAGCAGGGATGGGCAAAATACATGCAAATATGTATCGAAATACTAATACAAAATACTTCGTCAAAAATGTATTCAATTACAAATCTAATTACATTTCCAGAAAAGTATTTAAATACAAGATACAAATACAACCAAATGTATTTGGTCTCCTCCAAATACTTTTCCAAATACATTCCTCAAAATTTGCGTCAGCGACTTCAGGGCACCTGTAACGGGTTTCTGGGTATCTCATTTTAGTTGGCATCGCACACTCGGGAGTTACTGTGCGAGGCTCTAGCAACGTAAGAGAAATATAATCACAAAAAATATAATCAGCTTGGACGTAATAGGTGAAAAAAGTACAGAGCTTCAAGCCGCTTTTTTTGTCGATTACATTTTGGTATAGACCAACAAAG